TGGCTCAGGAGGCTGAGACAGGAAAATCGTGAGTTCAAAGCCAGCCTCAGCAAAAGTGAGGTGCTAAGCAACTTAGAGAGACCCTGTTTCTAAATAAAATATAAAATAGGGCTGGGTATGTGGCTCAGTGGTCAAGTGCCCCCGAGTTCAATCACTGGTACCCAAATCAGATTAGGCTTTAACATAATTTAATCATTTTCAATTCTTTTCTTTTTTTAATATTTTTTAGTGTTGATGGACCTTTATTTTATTCATTTATTTATATGCGGTGCTGAGAATTGAACCCAGTGACTCACACATGTGAGGCAAGCACTCTACCACTGAGCCACAATCCCAGCCCCTAATTATTTTCTTTTTGGGGATAGGGAGGATACTGAGGATTGAACTCAGGGTGTTCCACCACTGAGCTACACGTCCAATCCTTTTTATTTTGAGATGGGGCCTTACTAAGTTGCCAAGGCTGGCCTTGAAGTAGAGATCCTCCTATCTTAGCCTCCTGACTGGCTGGGATTATAGGTGTGCACCACCATGCCTCGTTGTAGTCAATTCTTACACAAAATTCTTGTTTAGTTTTAACTTAAAAAATAAAAGAAAAAAGAAAAAACAATTTTTGTGGGACTGAGAGTGTAGTATACTGGGAGATCATTTCCCTAGTATACAAAAGGCCCTGGGTTTGATCCCCAGCATTGCCAGAAATAAATAAAAATTCTGACTACTTCTTTCATCTTTTTACTCTTACTCTGGTTTTGGGGATTAAATACAGGACCTCATACATCATAAGCACATACTTTACCTCTGAGCTATACCTCCCAGCCCTGCAAAAATATTACTACATTTCAGTTCATGTAAAAGTTCAAATACAAACAGCACAAGTTGACAGGTGATTTTTTTTAAGGAGGAAATTATTTTTCACATTTTTGCAGGGTGGGGAGGGGTGGAGTACTGGGGATTGAATCCAGAAGTGTTTAAGTACTGAGTCACCTCTCCAACCCTTTTTATATTTTGAGACAGTATCTTGCTAAGTTGCTTAGGAATTCACATTTCATGTAGCAATCACTGGCAAATAAATTATAAAGTAGAGAACTTTCTCATACACAACCTTAGCAAGAAACTATCAATAAATCTCTGATAGAAAGAAAACAATTTTAGTAAAATATTTTTGTGGAAAATATTTCCAATACCTTTTTAATATTGAATAAAATCTTATGTTAGCAATATCCAAGGGAATTTTTGACATTTTATACCATGATTTACCATAGTTATTCCTTGTTTTTCTATTTTCTTGATATTTGCATTCAAAATAGCCACAACCACAAATAGCAAGATGAAAAATAGTAGGTTACTATTACTGATCTAATGCCACTTTTAACATTTTAATTTTTATTTTTTATAGTATCGATGATAGAACCCAGGGACATTTTACCACTGAGCTACATCCCCGACACCTCCCTTTTTCAAATTTTTAATTTTTTTTAGTTGTAGATAGACACAAAATCTTTATTTTATTTATTTATTTATTTTTTAATGTCGTGCTGGCGATCAAACCCTGTGCCTCACATGTGCTAGATAAGCACTTTACCACTGAGCCACAACCTCAACCCCTCCAACCCTTTTTATTTTGTTAAAGCACCTGACTTTAAAATACATTTTTATATTAACGATGTGCAGTCAGTTAATTCAGAGTTATATACTAAATAATTAAAGTAATTATTTTAACATTTTTCCCATCTTCTGACAACACTCTGAATGAATATGAGCTGATGAATACAAGGTGCAGTGTAGGACTTTATACATTAGCCCTATATAAAAATTATATAGATACATGTGTAGCTAATATAAAAAAATAAATAAAATAAAAAATAAAAAAAGTTATATAAATACAAAGTAGGTAATAACAGCATAATTTTTATAAATATTTAAATGGAAACATAAAATCTGTTCCACAGCAAAAAGAATGGTGTGGTACAATGATTCATTCTTATTGTGGTTAGGAAATAGAACCAGTGAGGACAGGTAGCAATAAAAGGCAGATGGCAGGTTTGCCAACAGCAATTCTGATTCTCCATCCCAGCTAATGGTGAACATTGGGTTGTTCCTATAGGTTACAGTCTGGCCTATATTTTGATAAATTGCTACTTTGTACTTACTGTAAATGGTCTACTAGCTTGGCATTGCGCTTCCCAAAACAGTGCTTTACCATATGAAAAAATACATCATAGTTAACGGGAGTCAACTGTTCTGTAAATAAAGTTTTTCGAGGAGTCATTTGAATAAAATACAGGTTCTGTTGTATTGGTTCTAATGGTTCCTAGAGAGAAGGGAAAATAAACTGTGTCAATGATAAAATATTATCAGAGCAAAGCACTGTTCACTTATTCCTTCTAGCTATTTGTTGGAAAATATAATCACCACAGTCCCTGAATGTCTCTGGATTTTCTCTTTGGACATGAAAGCATGAATACAAAGCCCTCACTCTTCTTTACCTGGGTCATCTCTCAAAGTTGTTTGCAGTGAGCAACCTTAAGAGATGAGATAATGCCTCTCTCCAGAACAAAGAGGAGGACTGTTTATTGTTTGCTATAAAAGAAGTGTTTCCTGGGGCTGAGGTTGCGGCTCAGCAGTAGAGCGCTTGCCTAGAACATTCGAGGTACTAGGTTCGATCCTCAGCACCACATAAAAATAAATAAATAAAATAAAGGTATTGTGTCCAACCACAACTAAAAAAAAAAAAAAAGAAGTGACTCCTCCAGCTCTGTATCCCTCAGCTGCCCACTATATTCACAGCATACAACTGAGCCACATCACATCACTCCATGGGCTGGAGGTACAAAGTTTTCTATGTAATTAAGAAGTTGTGTGTCCTTGGCCAGCATCTGCAAAACAGTAATATGTACCAATTCCCTACTATATTCAAAGTATGCCACCATGACCACTAGATCTAAAGATAAGAAAACATCATTGACACAAGATGTGGTGGCGCATGTGTATAATACTAGTTACTCGGGAGGTTGACACAGGAGGATTTCAAGTTTAATACCAGCCTGAGCAATTTACCAATACCCTGTCTCAAAATAAAAAATTTTCAAAGGGGGTTGGGGACAAATATCAGTGGTAGAACCCTTCCCTAACATGTACAAAGCCAGTGATTCATTCCCCAGTGCCACAAAAAGATTGACTTTTTTTTTTTTTTTTTTTTTTTAAAGACAAAGTCATGCTGTATTGCCCAGGATGGCTCCAAAACCTGGGCTCAAGCTTGCCTTCAAATCTCAAATAGCTGGACTACAGGTGCATGCCATGGCATCCAGCTGACTTGCAGTCTTTAATTGAATATTTAAAAACTGAAAGTCTCAAACAACTTAGATATGAAATGCATAAATAAAATTCTCATCTTCATCCCTAAAAGTGCACATTTTTTAGCCTTTGATCTTATTGAAAAAGGGAGAAATGTCTTATACGTAATCATGTTCATTTTTTGGACATTTGGATAAATTCCTAATGGTACCCAAGCCAAAATGCATTATTCCTATTCAACTCTTTGAATATAAATTATGTTTATGAATAGGGAAATCTAACAGGTCACCATGATATGTGATCACTCTATAATCAGACTCTTCAGTAATTTTCATTTTCCCTTAGTGGGAAGAGTAAGGGGAGGAAATAAATGGGATCTTCCAGAAGCTGGTGTTAGGCCATCATTAACATCAAATTCTAAAGTAGAATTTCTGAATTCAGTCTAAAAAATATTCTTTTGCATCATCTGTTAATTTATTAGAATTGAACAAGTAACCCTGAGATAAATTAAATAGAGGGCCACCTTATAACATGACCACTTTGGTTTTTTAGAAAGGAAAAAAAAAGAATAACAAAAACAAAAATGAAAGCCCAAATTCCTGGGCAAGAACAAATAGGTACCTATTGGTGAATTCAACCATAAAGAAGAGTCAAAATTATAAATTTCTGATTGATGAATAAGATGTAAAATTTGACTTTATGCTATTAAATGAACATTAAAATAATTATATTCTACAAATTTGAGATGTGTCTTCATTTTTTTATTTTCTGGCATTGGGAATTGATACCAGAGGTGCTTTACCACTGAGCCACATCCCCAGCCCCTTTTATTTTTGTTTTCAGAGAGGGTCTCAATAAGTTGCTAGGGCCTTGCTAATTTGGGGAGGCTGCCCTCAAACTTGGGATCCTCCTACCTCAGCCTCCCAAGTCACTGGGATTACAGGCATGCCACCCATATCTTCATTTTAAAAGACAAAAGAGAAGTCAGATTCTCTATTTAAGCCTATTACCATGTTAGCATCTACTACTGAATGGCTGATAAATACAGCTATTTCAAAATAATTTCAATTTATTTTAACAAGTAATTAGACATGTTTAAAGAGCGTTTGTAATAATTTTCAAATTTAAACTTTAAATAAATCGAGAATACCAGATAATCTTAAAGAAAATGAGGGATGTTCCATTAAAAGGAAAAAAGGAAAAGTTATTAATTTATTCTTACCCTGTGCTTTAGCTTTTCCAGCTGCCCATTTTGGGGGTATATATCAAATGACGACCAAGGCTCCTTAAAGAAAGAAAAAACAAAATACAAAACAATTCTTTCAGTTCTTTTTGGTTGAAGTTCCCCAAATTATTATGGCCTTAAAAAATGTCATGCTTAAACAGCAGAATGAATTAAACCCAGGTCATAGTCTAAATGGATTTAGGAAAAATAAGCGATAGTTGAAAAACACATATACAACTCTCTATCTTACTTGTGTGTGTGTGTGTGTGTGTGTGTGAGAGAGAGAGAGAGAGAGGAGAAGAGGAGGAGGGGGGGGGGGAGAGAAAACACCTTAATGTGATCATACAACAAATAGGTTCTTTTCTTTTTAAATACTTTTATTTTTATGTGGTGCTGAGGCTTGAACCCAGTGCCTCACATGTGAGAGGAAAGCATTCTACACAACCCCAACCCACAAACAGGTTCTTAAGTCATAATTTTTTCATGTCAAATAGATACCATGTACACAGGACAGTAATGCGGTTTGAGGAAGGCATGTCCCACACATGGTGTGAAAACCCTATCATCACGCTTACGAACCACAAAAGCTAACATTTTCATACTAGAGTCAGAATCAACAGTTTAAGGGAGATCATATCAATAGCAAGGATTTTTTTTGTCCTATTTTAGTGTAAAAGCCTATTACTCAAACTGATTTGAATATATTCAGATATTTAAGATTCACAAAGATACTCATGCCAATTTTTAAAAACAGAATCATTACTTTTTTCTATGTAACGTTTTTGTTCTGTTTTGTTTTGTTTGTTTTGGTACCAGGATTGAATCCAGGTGCACTTAAACACTGTCACATTCCTAACCCTTTTTAAAAATGTTTTATTTAGAGACAGGGTCTCCCTAAGTTCCTTTAGGGCCTCGCTAAGCTACTGAGGCTGGGTTTGAACTTGCAATCTTCCTGCCTCAGCCTCCCAAGCCACTGGGATCATACTTGTGCACCACCATGCCCAGCTCTATCTAACTTTTCCATGTACAATTTAGTGCATAAAGTAATTCTTAAAAAACCCAACTGAGAGCTGGGGCTGTGGCTCAGTGGTAGAGTGCTCGCCTAGCACGTGGGAGGCTCTGGGTTCGATCCTCAGCACCACATAAAAATAAATAAGTGAAATAAAGGTATTATGTCCAACTACAACTAAAAAATAAATATTAAAAAAACCAACTGAAAAATAATTCTCTATATTAAAAATATCTATCTATATACATATAAAATTTCAAAATAGGAGTGGGTTAGAAGAGCATCTGACACAGACTTAAAAAGACTAAAACAATGTCAAACATAAGGTTTGAAAGGCTACTGTCAGAAGTGATAATTTATTATTAACTGTGGTGGGAATGGAAGTGGAATGGAAAATACAATTGTTACCCAACTGTGAAATTCCTAGCAGTTCTAGGAACATCATTTTAAGTACAGAAAAGCAAAGCCCTGGAAAGGGTGCACAGCAGGCAATGTTGGTCAAGCCACAGCAGTTTGGGATATAGCAGTGGGAGCAAAGGACACTTCACTTTTGCCTGCCAAAGCCACAGTAGAGGAAAACCTTCAAGACCTTGGGAAATGAGTTAAATGTCTGCTTTGTAATTATAGATTTACAATGCAGCAAGTGCTGAAAAAAATGTTCAGTTCAGAAAGAGCTCTCTTTTCTCAAGGTTAATAAATGGCAAAATTTAATACAGGATGTTATGGTTTGAATATGAGGTGTTCCCCAAAAGCTCTTGTGTCAACACAGGAATATTCAGAAGTGATATGAATAAATTATGAACTGTAACTTAATCAGTCTATCCTGGTTTGAATGGATCAACTGGGTGGTAACTGTAGGCAGGTGGGGCATGGCTGGAGAAGGTGGGTCACTGGGGGTGTGCCCTTAGGAATAATATCTTGTCTCCCTGGCTCCTCCCACTCTCTGCTTTCCTGCTGCCGTAAGCTGAGCAGTTTTCCTCTGCAATGCCCATGGAATGAACTTCTGAAACTGAACCCAAAATAAAGTTTTCCTCCTCTAAGTTGGGTCTTGTCAAGTACTTTGGTCACAGCAATGAAAACCTAACTATCACACAGGACTTTTGAAAACAAATACTAAGGAACAGGAAGAAGGAAATATTAACCTGAAAGCCAAAGTCTTTAGGAGGCCTCTATGAAGATACTAGCTGAAAGCTATGAGGACAGAGAAGGCTGAGATTAAAAGTCAACAGATGAGATAAGAATGGGGAAAGGAAGGGGATTAGGCAAACCAAGAACTACAGTATGGAGATTACAGGATAGTAATGTAAAGATTAAGTATAAAAAGATTCTGGGACTTGAGAAAAATGATGAGAACACGATTGATATCAAAGACAAAGATAAGGACCCAACATACCTGTGTTTTGGAGAAGGAAAAATAATTGGAACAAAATTTCAACTAAAACAAGGTAACATTCCTAAACTAAAAAATGCAAATAAAAGGGCTTACCAAGTTCCTGGACAAAAGTAGGGAAGAGACTACATGGAGACACACACTACAAAATCTAAAACTTAAACCAATACATTCTTAGAAACACAAGGCCTTAAAAAATATATAACTACAATTGTTCCATTGTATCTGTGGAACTGATCTAGGATCCCCTTCCAAAACTTACATCTGTAGATCCAAAAGTCCCTCATACAAAATGGCACATTATTTGCAAATAACCTATTCACATCCTTCTGTGTACTTTAAATCATCTTTATAGACTGTTTATAATAGCTAATATGATGTAAATACTTGTCGTACTATATTGTTTAGGGGATAATGACAAGAAAAAAGTCTATACATGTTCAGTAGAGTCATAATTTTTTTCCAAGTATTTCTATCTGCAATTGGTTAACTCTACGGATATAGAGGACAGGACACAGATATCTGCAGGACACAGATAACTGACTATATATATCCTATAAAAACTACTTGATAGATAATCTCGTCTACTAAAATAAGTAAGAGAATGGGCAGCCTGTAATCCCAGCGGCTCAGAAGGCTGAGGCAGGTGGATCTCAAGTTTGAAGCTAGCCTCAGAAATAGTGAGGCCATAAGCAATTTATCGAGATCCTGTCTCAAAAAAATAAATAAATAAATAAAAAGGGCTGGGGATGTGGCTCAGTGATTAAGCACCCCTATGTTCAATCCCTGGTTAAAAAAAAAAGGGCAAATTATGTATGAAAGGAATAGTGCTTATCATTTTTTCCTCATATTCCAGCCTTCTGATATTAAATGTATTAATAGCTTCTAGCAAGATGTATATATTAATAACATTTGAAATGTGTCCAGAATTGACATGGCTGTAATTGTATGAAACATGGTGGATTTTCAAAGGCTGAGTACAAACACAAAAAACATAAATTATGTAATAGCGCAATATTAAGTACATACTGACCTGACAATAATCTGACTTTACAGGTGGCTAAATACAATATAATGTTAATTTCACCTGTTCTTTTTTCTTTTTATGAGGCTATTAAAAAATGTAAAGCTACATAATGGTTCACACTACCTTTCTATTAGACAACTATAATCTTTCTTAAGATAACTAAAAAGGGCATGCTCTACATTGAACAATTGAGTAGCCATTAAAAACTTAAAAATGTTTTGTGACAAAGGAAAAAGTTTACAATAATTGCCTATTAAGTCAAAATATAAATAAATAAATGAAGAAAAACTCCACTATATCAAGATAGAAGTACAGGGATAATAATAAAAAACTGAAAATAGGTCACAATCAACAATGACTTCTGGGTTAAAAACTACAGTAACTGAGCTACGTGCAGTGGTGCACACCTACAATCTCAGAGACTCAGGAAGTTGGGCAGGAGGATAGAAAGTTCTAGGCCATCTTTGGCAATTTGGTGAGATCCCTGACTCGAAAAATAAGAAATGGGTCTGGTGTGGTGGGTCACTCCTATAATCCTAGCCCCTCAGGAGGCTGAGGCAGGAGTATCACAATTTTGAGGCCAGCCTCAGCAATTTAGTTAGGCCCTAAGCAACTTAGTGAAACCCTGTCTAAAAATAAAAAATTAGAAGGGCTTGGGGATGTGGCTCAGTGGTAGAGTTCCCTGGGTTCAATCCCCAATACCAAAAAAGCAATAAGAAGGAAAGGGGTGGAGATATAGCTCAGTGGTAGAGTGTCCCTCTGTCAATCCCCATTACTACAAAAGTGGGGAAAAGAAAAAGAATTAAATTATAGTGAAATGTACTTCCTGTTTTTACAACTATCATATATTATTTTTATGATAAGAAAAAATAAATATTTGTCACAAAGAATCTCTTTCACAAAGCTAACTTGCCCCATAACCTTCAATAGTTGGAAAAAATAATAAAAATTAATCTTTTAAAGCAATCTTTAGTACATAATCTGTACTTAAAACTTAGTCTCTGAAATATAATACAATCATCTCTTAGAATACATAATTTTACTCACCACATGCAGAAGCTTAACATCACAAGCTACTTGCCAGAGCACACTTAATGCCTGATAGAAGTTTGGATTTTTGGGACCTGCCGTTAGATTCTAGTAAAAGAAAAATAAGAACTATGTAATATATAAATTATAATCAGTCATAATTAAATGTTAGATCTTAATAGAAATACCTAAAAAGTATCTAAGTAAAAAAATTAGAAACAAAATCTTAATCATAATTATTTTAGAGTTTTTTATGCTTTCCTTTTGAAAACATGTTATCAGGTACACTTAAAATTCAAAGTATGTGTGTGGAGCTCAGAGGTGCACACATGTAATCCCAGCTCTTCAGAGGCTAAGGAAGGAGGATATCAAGGTCAAGGGCAGGTGTAACAACTCATTGAGACTCTGTCTTGAAATAAAAAAAAAATGGCTGATGATGGAACTCAATAGTACAATGCCCCAGGGTTCAATCCCCAGTGTATGGGGGTGGGAGTGGGGGAGGGGTTCCAATGCATTTGAGACTGGTTCCTTTTAATCATGTGATCTAAGGGCAAAATTCTCATTCAAGAAAAATTGAAATAAAAGTGTATAATACTAATCATTCAGCTATAGATGTGAGCGAAACAGTAACAATCCCTGTTTATGATCCTGTAACATAGCATAACAGAAAACATTAGCTAATAAATGCATAACAATTAATTAACTTATAGTATGTATTATGGAGCATAGGTGTGCCAAAAATATGTATCAGATGGGTTTTAAATTTTGAGTTGAGAGTTTCTTTCTTTCTTTTTGGTAATGGGAATCAAACACCAGGGTTTTTTGCTACTGAGCTACATTCCAGCCCTTTTTATGTTTTTATTTTCAGACAAGGTCTCACTCATTTGCTATGGCCTTGCTAAGTTGCTGAGGTTAACCTTGAACTTGTGATTCTACTGCCTCAGCCTTCAGAGCCATGGGGATTAAGCATGTGCTACTACTCCTGGCCTGAGTCAAGAACTGTAATGCTGACACTACAAAGACAGAGTTAATTTCAGTGCATGAAATTAAGAAAGGAAAAAGGAAACCGTATTTTTAAAAAATGTATTTTAAAAAACATGCCACTGGAACATTTTCCTAGCAGCAAGATAAAAT